CCTTTCTTTACTTTTATGTATGGAGTCCTTGAGGTTCTCTGAGCTTGGTTCTTTTCTTGCAAACGTTTCATTACCCGGTTAGGTAACATCTTCAGTGCTGAAATGGGATGGGATGATTTATGTATTTAAAAGATTTATATGGCCGCCCATCTTAAACAACTCTGGGCAGCTAAGCTGAGCTGTCACTCTTTTTCTTTTTCATTTTCTGCATTGTTGCTTCGATATTTTTAACCGTGTTTGCTCCCAGGAGTTGCTTCTGCAAGGCGGAGGACTGTATAAATTGAATAAATGAATGAATGCCCTAAAGCAGGTATATTAATGTTAAAGAACGTGACTCCCCCCAACCTTCTCCAACCGTTCCCACCCACATGAGATGCAGCTCCATCACCCTTGGGGTCTCCCAAAGGCGATGTGCTCCTCATTGCCAAGGAAGATCCTGTTTCCTTTGGGAAGAGATGGTGCTAGAAACCTCCCGCCAGCTGCTCCTTCCACCTGGGTTGCGCCGCAGACCTCCCACAGGCCACTCATGCGCTGCTTTATTTATGAGATTTCTCTGGTGCCTCCAGCTGGTGGATTCTGGGCCGTGCTGACTGATTTACCTCCCAGCCTGGGGCAGTGGGCATCCCATGGGGGAAATCTCTGGGCCAGAAGGCTGCAGGAGACCAAGACTTATGCTAGTGCACACCAAAGCCTGTGGCCCCCGGGCCCCATCTCTGATCCCCATGGGCGCACGTGAGGGTCGGGGCCGATAGGGCAAGAAAGCCCGTGGAAGGGGGGGCTGCAGCAGAGGCCGGCAGACGGAAGCCGCAGAGATGCTGGGGTGGGGAGCTCCCAGCCAGCTTTCCTGCCCCCCAGCTTGGCTGGCACTGCCCGGGGACACTGGCATAGCTCATCTGAGCACAAGCAAGCTGGGAGCCCTGCCCAGCACGTGCCTTGCCCATAAGGAAGCAGGCTGGGAAGACCCCTCCCCCGCAAAACCTAGAGCCCCCCCTGCATTTATTAATTGAGATTTGGAGTCATTCATAAGCCCTTCGCTTTTAAACCAACTTTCGTGGTTATCCAACACAGCTAGGATAGATTTTGAATTTCTTTTTTTTAAAGCGTGGGATGAGGAAGGCAAAGCAAGTTCCTATCCCTCATTGTCGAATGACACGTGCTTCCCCAAGAGGAGGCGGGAAGTGGGCGTGGCCACTTGGAGAGGCGTGGCCCGGAGAAGGCTGCATAGGCGACTTCGGCGACTCCTGCCTTGGCTGCGCATGCGCTCGCCGTGTGCCCCGCGGTCCCCGCCAGGCCTGGACGGAAGCGGAAGTCGGAGCCTACCCGACCGGAAGTTCTCTCCGCCCCGGCTTCTTCCGCTTCCTTTCCCGCCTCCTC